CATTAATTAATGGTTTAGTTCTTCATGAGTAATACATTAACTCATGATTATCTGTGCATTAGTTAAGCATGAATTAATGCGTATTAGTGCACCCGTATTGTAAAGTGTTACAGAATGTAAAAGGAATTGAAAGTAAAATCAAGTCATTTTCATCTTTTTACCATGTTGCTTTATTTAACATATTTCTCACTTGCCCACAAGGCAATAGCACAATGGCAACGCTCTGAAAAACCTATCAAAAAACAATTTTTTTAAAACCTAGCATAAACTATCATTAACCTGTTCAGAAAATTGAAATAGTCTGGCGAGGTGGAGCCACGGGTTGGCACATTCCCGGGATGGACCTGCTGCGTCTTCATCCATTGTTTCGTCCATGGTTTCGTCTCTTATCTAAATCATACCATGGAGTTGACTGGCGGAAAGCTGAAGGTGATTGCTGATAGACTGTTCCAATCAGTGGCGCCTGCACAATCCAATCACGTTTGAGAGGGAAACAACAAATTGAGGGTTTCCGAGATTTTTCTTTTTTCCTTTTTTTTAATTTTTTAGAAGAAGTAACGGGTACTCACGGTTATGGATAGAAATGTAGTGGAGTACAGAGTACAATATTTGCCTCCCAAATGTACTTGAGTAAAGTCATGAGTTATCCCCAAAAATGATACTCGAGTAAAGTACAGATCCCCCAAAATTGTACTCAGGTAAATGTACTCCGTTACTGTCCGGCTCTGCATTTCACTACAACTGAGCATTGACGGACATATTTTCAATATTTTGGCCATGTTTCATGAAGATGGGCTGGGCCGCGAAATAACATCGTTCATTTGTATCGTTGACCAGAAAGACAAACGTCTTACATTAATGGAGCAAAATACAAACAATACATGAATATCCGTCGAATAGCCTATAAAGCTAGTAGAGCATTATGACATTCATTTTGTCGTTCGTTTTACCCGGCAAAAGAGAAAGTAGCCTAATGTATAAAAGTCTTACCATGCAGACGTAAGCACATCAACAATAAGAAAAGAAATAGAGACATGCTTCATTTTCAATATTTCCTCAAAGATGAACGCAGCAGATCCAGTGAAGAAGTGATCTATTGTTACTCTGCGTTAATGGCGGCGCCATTATTCCGATTATTTCACTAGTTAAAATGAAAGTAGTAATTTGGGAGGATCCTTACGCGCGGTAGTGCGATGACGTAGTGACGTTTTGATCTAAATACAAAACAAAAGTCTTTTCCGGGTTCTGTTTGTGCAGTGCTGCGTTAACATTTTAAGGTGTTGGATTTATATTATAAATTATTTTATACATTGGATTGCGTATTCGCAACTCACAGTGTGAATTTCAGTGTTTTGAATGATCGGTTTGAATGATTTAGTGTTTATTTTTATTATTAATTAAAATCATTGGTGTTGTTTTGGGAACAAAATAAATTCGGTTTCCTTTAGTGAATGTATAGTATAACCTATTTAATTAATTTGTTTTATAATTAATATTATTGACTAATAAAGTCAACAAGACATCATAACTGAATTTACACACGTTAAGCAGTTTAAAAGCTGGATTCTTAAAGGTATAGCGGAGGATTTTTCCGGGTGGGTAGCCTATACTATTGGTCCACCTAAGTGTCAATCATTCTGGTGATATGTTTACGTAAGGCCGTCGTACGTGCTCGTCCCAATGTAGTTTTCGCTTTCTGTGCATGCGCACTTTCAGGTGTATTATGTGTGATGAGTTACGTTTTCAGCCATTCCTTTGAAAATGGCTGAGGGTCGAAAGAGAAAAAATGTATATGAAGTGTATGATAAGAAGAGAAAGGCCGCAGAATATAGAAACAAGACCAGAGTGATTTTGGGTGAATATTTCACACGCTGGCGTGCGCTAAAAGCACAGGTTGGGCTTCCCACTGATGCCGCAGTCGCGAAGATTCTAGACAGGTAAAGTTTGTCATGCTATTTGGAGAAATCCATTTAAAATCACTGCTAGTAAAAGTTAATGTAAGCTATGACACGTTTAATAGGCGTTCCCTCTCGGGAGCAAATAGTGTTGCGCATGTGCATTTTTAAAAAAATTGGAGAGGGCGGGTCTTCTCTAAAATTCGGAAAGATCCTCCGCTATACCTTTAATGCTGTGTGTAAAACAATTAAGCAATATATATGAAATATAATATTGCATATAAAAATATAATATTGGCATATTACTGTACTTTGGCTCTGACAATGAAATGTCTTTTCTGAGAACATTTCCAAAAATAAGCACCATGATACACAAGAGTAGCAAAACTCGAGAGCACGTAGATGTGAATTTGAGAACTTGTACAATAAATATTCGTACTTGACCGCTTAAATGTACACTCACAGCTCCAATGTGAAAACCTGTAAAATAAAAATCTGAAGTTGAAATTTGCGCTCCCAGACAATAGTCACAAACTTGAATTCTGAATTTGAAGCTGCAGACAAGTATTCACAAATGTGTAAAATACCATTCACAGAAATACAATGACAGACACAAACTTGAAATATATATTTGCACTTATTCTTACATTAACATTTGCAGGGAGCGGGGGTGTTCAAACGAGCCGTTTTATTGGTTGGCGCCTAGCCAATGAAATGGGACTTCTATTGTACGTGATGATGTCACGAAACCCGCATCTTCGACGTTCTGAACGCTATTAAAATAAATAAATTATATTAACTCAGTGATCCAAAACTCCGCAAACACCATAATGCATAGGCCTACTATGTACAGAATAGAATTTAATTAAGACAGTGGTATAGAGATTGCTAATGTGTCGTCATCGTGACGTATTACCAGTGGTGAACGCAAAGCATTTTGGGAATCCGCGGCACAAACATTCGGGCTGCGTCCGAAACCGCATACTTCCCTACTATATAGTATGCGAAAAAGAGTAGGCGAGCGAAAAGTATGTACGAATCATAAAAGAGTAGGCGAGAATTACCTGGGTGACGTACTAATTATCGCGAGATTCGGACTTAAGTGCGTTCGAATATGCCTACTTCCCTACTATATAGTAGGCGAAAACAGTACGTGAAGGAAGCAGTACGTTCGAAACGTCAGTATTCATAAAAGAGTAGGCGAGAAGTTCCCGGATGGCTTACTGCTTCAGCCCAGATTTTCGAGTGCTCGTCCGATGGATACTGTGGATACTCATCTATCCCAGGAGGCCACGCGAGAGCATACGTCATTATCAACATCACGGAGATCAGCGACGCGGGGGTTTTCAAATGTGAGTAAACACGGTTCCTTGTGTTTAAATCGTATGTGTTAAACTACTATAGAGTAAACGTTTTAACTGTTGAAGGTGTAAAGGAGTTAGACAGTATAGAATAGTTGTGATTTTGCTGTAAAAACATGTTTTATTATGTATAGCTAGCTAACAGGGGAGCTCCAGTAAGCACACGTAACGTTACGTCTCTTAAGTGGATTTACATAACCATATACATCTTAAACACGCTTATTTAAAATGTCTATTTACATCTGAAAGGAAAATATTGTATAAGTATTGCATCTGAGTGATGTACACTCACCGGCCACTTTATTAGGTACACCTGTCCAACTGCTCGTTAACACTTAATTTCTAAGCAGCCAATCACATGGCGGCAACTCAGTGCATTTAGGCATGTAGACATGGTCAAGACAATCTCCTGCAGTTCAAACCGAGCATCAGTATGGGGAAGAAAGTTGATTTGAGTGACTTTGAACGTGGCATGATTGTTGGTGCCAGAAGGGCTGGTCTGAGTATTTCAGAAACTGCTAATCTACTGGGATTTTCACGCACAACCATCTCTAGGGTTTACAGAGAATGGTCCGAAAAAGAAAAAACATCCAGTGAGCGGCAGTTCTGTGGGCGGAAATGCCTTGTTGATGCCAGAGGTCAGAGGAGAATGGCCAGACTGGTTCGAGCTGATAGAAGGGCAACAGTGACTGAAATAACCACTCGTTACAACCGAGGTATGCAGCAAAGCATTTGTGAAGCCACAACACGCACAACCTTGAGGCGGATGGGCTACAACAGCAGAAGACTCCACCGGGTACCACTCATCTCCACTACAAATAGGAAAAAGAGGCTACAATTTGCAAGAGCTCACCAAAATTGAACAGTTGAAGACTGGAAAAATGTTGCCTGGTCTGATGAGTCTCGATTTCTGTTGAGACATTCAGATGTTAGAGTCAGAATTTGGCGTAAACAGAATGAGAACATGGAACCATCATGCCTTGTTACCACTGTGCAGGCTGGTGGTGGTGGTGTAATGGTGTGGGGGATGTTTTCCTGGCACACTTTAGGCCCCTTAGTGCCAATTGGGCATCGTTTAAATGCCACGGCCTACCTGAGCATTGTTTCTGACCATGTCCATCCCTTTATGGCCACCATGTACCCATCCTCTGATGGCTACTTCCACCATGTCACAAAGCTCTAATCATTTCATATTGGTTTCTTGAACATGACAATGAGTTCACTGTACTAAAATGGCCTCCACAGTCACCAGATCTCAACCCAATAGAGCATCTTTGGGATGTGGTGGAACGGGAGATTCGCATCATGGATGTGCAGCCGACAAATCTGCGGCAACTGTGTGATGCCATCATGTCAATATGAACCAAACTCCCTGAGGAATGCTTCCAGCACCTTGTTGAATCTATGCCACGAAGAATTGAGGCAGTTCTGAAGGCAAAAGGGGGTCCAACCCGTTACTAGCATTGGGTACCTAATAAAGTGGCCGGTGAGTGTATGTGTGCTATTATGTAGGATAATTCACTGTTGTCAACACTGTTTACATTAGACAAATGTGATGTAAATAAGGTAAATAAACAAATCTATAAAGTAACTAAACATGTTATATATTTTATTTGTCCCTTATTACTGTTGATAAATTGAGGAACATTTAAGTTGGATAAAAAGTGAGTTAACACATCAGCTACAACCTCAGCCTGTAGGCTAGTATTGAGCAGATAAATCACAGCATTTTTGTAACTTTTAATACATAAATCAAATTACATTGTGCTGTTAAAATGACTGCTTTTGTATAATGTTTGTGCATTTTTGTAGGATCTGAAATGTCTGCAGACTGGTGTGAGCACTGAGGACGAGGAGCCCAGAGCTGAATCCTGGAAACGGTGCCATGGAAGAGTCCCTCTATCACTCCATCTGCCCTTATTGCCTCAGACTGTGAAGCGCAGCAACAAGCTCCGGCACGAAGGCACGCTCACCTCTGGTGAAGTCATCAGAATAAAGCTGCAGAATGGGAACCGCTGTGTTGAGATGGCAGTAGGATGTGGGGTTCAGCGCCTGTAAATACATGATTGTAGTTTGAATAAAGCTTTGTTTCATGTGTTGTTGACTTGTATATGCATTTGTTTATTGTGATGGTTACTTATATTTGTTCGTTTACTCATTTATTCATGTTTCTTATTGTTTTCAGTATATAAAATATAATTATTTAATTTATGTATGCATTAATTAATTGCTTGGCTTTATCTAGTGTGTATTAATGCATAACTATGTCATATGACAAAACAAATTACATTTAGCTTGTTTTACACTCTTAGAAAAAAGGGTTCATTGGGGTTCTATATAGAACCATAGGGTTCTTTACTCCAAATAACCTTTTATGCTAAAAAGGTTCTATAATGACAAGAAAGAACCCTTTTGGCACAAAGGTTCTTTAGGCTATTATTTGACAAAACAAAATTAATTAATGAAAACCCCCTAAAAGGGGTTCATAAAACCTTTTGATTTAACCCTTAAAAAGGGTTCTGTATAGAACCTTTTAGGGGTTCCAAATAAGTAGCGCCAGATAGAACCTTTTAAGATTCTATATAGAACCTTTTCTTCTAAGAGTGTATTAAATTATATAATTTTTAGTATTCACCTTATTAAGGTGAATATACATTTAAAAAAGTAATATAATTAAGTATTGGTCAGCATTAAATATTATTATTTTGTTTAAGTTTTGGGGTGGACTAACAATGCAATTCATTCTGAGGTAATATACATTTTTAAGGAGCGATACTTACATTTTTCGAGTATAAAATCAACAGTTTTCTCCAAAGGAGAGATCTTCGAGCAGCCGCCCGTCTCCTTTGTGCAGACATTACAAACGCAGAGGAAAACTGTTCTAGGTTGTGCTGTCGAGTTACTGATGTTATGAAGTGTTAGTGCACCTGTCACTCATATAATTTAAACTTATTACATACAAGATCATGGAAAGATACCATAGTTGTATCTAACAATGAACAATAATAATGACAAAACATAAAGATCATTGGTTTGTGTACATCATATTATGATATTTAATGCACAGGAAAAAAGAACAATAACAAGGCTAAATATTTTTAAATAGTTTTTCATAATACATAAAAAAAATGTTTTTTTGTTATAAGTCTGAGGGATGAAACGAGAGGTAAATTCATCAAGAAAAAGAGGGAAAGAAAGGAAAAAATTTTGGGGTATAAAATAAAGAAATTAACAACATATTCAAGATTTGGGGGTTTCTTAATAAAAAAATATATCATTATAAGGATAAAACTGTGGGTCACATTAGTAGGATTTAAAATATAACAACTTAAATCAACCCTAAATGTATTCACAAAATAAATGGAGAGCTGTTTCTTCAACAATACCACAAAATGAGCAAGTTTACCGGTAATCAATATCGAGATATTTACAGATAGATGAATTAAACGTGTCGTTCATATCTTTTAAGTTGTTGCGCTTGTGATAACGCGTCGTAGGTCACATGATAACGTCAACATGGCGATGATGTCCGGATCGCATTCACACTCAACGAGATTTGGCTATAAAGTACCTACTCTTTTAGCGCTCGTTAAGTACTCATTGAAATTAAGTACCTACTCATTGAGTATGCGGTTTCGGACGCAGCCTCGGTGTCAGACTTGATTGCATGGAGGGAAGAACGCAGTGTTCAAGATGCCGTCTACCTGATTTGTTATAAACTGCAATAGTCGTTCTCACGATAGAAGTGGCATTTGTCCACAACACCAGTAAACTCACATCCTTCATTCATGAAACACACTGCCCCCAGCCCCCACATGTAAACCATTCATCCGTTGTATGTGTGTTTGCAATGTATTTTTCCCCTCGGGGCTTGCCGTAGATAGGAATGGGTCGTGCGCGAGTGTCGCGGGTTTTTGGAGTTAGTGATCTGATGTGTGGTATAATAAAGTGGAGAAGAGTTCAAACTGCTATGTTTATTATTTATTCAAACTACCCTTAATAGGCCAGTAACAATGCCCCCGAATTTTTTAGATACCCCTACCGCAGGTAGAACTAAACCCAACAATGTTTTCCTCATCTCTAAGGTCTCCCATATATGAAATGGATTCTTGGCTCAAAATATTTTACTGCTAAGATTGTTAAATTAACAGATATTGTTATAAACCCCAAAACCAAAAAAGGACTAAAATATAGCCTGTCCGTATGGGAGTTAAGGCATATAAACTAGTGCAGATCAATCACACAAGCTCTGAGAGCTTTGAAACTTGGCATGTTTGTAGTCAGGAAGTTGCTTTAACTACTAGAAAAGACTGGATGTGAATATCTTGATGTATGGAATAAATAGAGACATATAAACACATACCTAAAATAAGCGGACATGCACAAATGTTATATCTATGCAGAATGTTTTAATTTACTTTATGGTTGCTTTGCCAGGGATTATAATAGAAACACATATGATGGCTTGTTGGAAAGGTGGGGTTGTGCTGAATCCAGAAATACCAAATATGTAAATATAGCTTGACAAATCAGAGTGTTCTGTCACTCAATGTATGAGGTGTACAAAATGAAAGAAAACGGAACACTGACAAAATAGTCTCAAGTCCAAATCATATTATCAGTGGTGAGAAGAATGTTGATAAATTCATTGTTACTGCAAAGTAAGTTACATTAGGTACGTGCTGATCTATATTTATGATACATTTAATAATGATACATTTCATAATGATACATTTCATAAGGCACAGTATACTTTACAATTCATATGAAACACAGATCCAATTGAATCAGGTTAACATTGTAATGGAACACCTTTATTAAAGTATGTATATCCACTTGAATTTTGTTTTGGTCAAGTCATTACTGAATAATGAAAAATAATATTGTTAGCTTTTTTTCTGTCCAGACCAGCAGTGGGCAGTAGAGCCTCCTACACAGCTTACTTCACCCCATTGGTGTGATCTTTGATGAGATAAGAATAAGATGGTAGATATTTTTCATTTGATAAGCGTATTGTGGTCTAGTGAGTTGACTACTGTTAGGCTAATGGTTGGATCCAGCTGTAGCTACAGACCTGCCAACCTGTACGCATTTTGCGTAGCGGGCACACATTTTGACCTCAAAGTACGCCGGTATGATTTGTCACCATAGACAGTAAAAGAAATGGACACAGCGACCCCATAGATTTCAACGGAGAAAAGTGAAGCCAATTAGAAGCACTCACTTCCTGATGGCTGAGCGTCCTGCACAGGCTCACACTGAGCTCGACGATGTAGATGTCACGTGAGGCACCTGTCTGTCTTCTAGTAGCTGTGCCGAGAGAAATCTGAATCATTCCCTTCCGAATCTCGCAGAGACGGAGAGTGTGAGCATTAGCTGTCCATGAGCTCGCAGCAGGAGCAACTTTATGACTCTCTATGGGCTTCTCCCTTGAATTTATGCCTCCACGTCCCCCCGATTGCCTGCGAGCTTGTCCTCCTGTCTATACGATAATTTCTCTACTGTGCGACGGAGAGTCGAGTGGTTGTGACGCAATCGTTAGCCTATTTTTACAAAAACTGCTTCTACGGGGCCATAACGTAAGATACAAGGTAATGGATTCTTTTATACATTGTCATGTTTCTTTAGAAATAAATAATGGACAAATGGAGTCTTTGGAGTCCATATGGAGTCAGATGTAAAGTTATTCGCTGTCAAAGTGACGCCAAAATGAATGGGAGTCAATGGAATGCTAACAGCAGGTGAAGTTCTGCTACAATGGCGGCCCCCGTGGAGGCTTCAGTTTGGATTGGATGAATTACCCCCTTGTTTGTCACTCCAAACTACGCAAAAGCCTGGTGACGACTCTGTGCACGCGCAGTCCTCAAATCATGGTGTCCGCATAATAATGTAGAATTCATAGACGATTGGAAAAGTTTTTGGGGCAAACCTGACCTGTTGAAAAGAGATGGTATTCATCCCTCCTGGGCTGGTGCTGCTCTTCTCTCTAGTGATTTGGCTCATAGTCTTAGAGCTAAAACATGACAATCTGGGGCTCAGGTCAGGAAGCAGACAGACTGGCTAAACCGACCGTCTGCTAGCGGCCTTGCGTCACCAAGGTCAGATAAATCCCATCACATAGAGCCTCTTTCACCTAGATATCATCATTTAGAGACTGTGTCTGTTCCCCGAATTTGGAAATCCCAAAAATGTCCAAACCCATCTAAGGTTAAAAATGTAATTGATGTTCAACAAATAAAAAAACAGAATACAGATGAGCAAATGATAAAGCTTGGGTTGCTGAATATTCGATCCCTTACTTCAAAATCGCTCATAGTTAATTATATGATTTCAGATTATAATCTAGATGTGCTGTGTTTGACAGAAACCTGGCTAAAACCAAACGATTACATTACTTTAAATGAGTCAACCCCACAAGATTACAGTTATAAACATGAACCTCGTCAGAAACGCAAAGGGGGAGGAGTTGCTGTTATTTTATAGTAATATTTTCAAAACCACTAAGAAATCTAGTTTTAAAAATAATAAGTGTTGGTGCTTAATGTAAAAATATATAGTGTAAACGATAAATCACGTTTGAGAATTCTGCTGGCTACTGTATACAGGCCACCAGGGCACCATAAAGATTGTATCAAAGAATTTGCGGACTTTCTATCAGAATTAGTATTGGCTGCCGATAAAGTACTAATTGTTGGTGATTTTAATATACATGTAGATAATGAAAAAGATGCATTGGGATTGGCATTTAAAGACATTGTAAACTCAATTGGAGTTAGACATCACGTGTCAGGACCTACTCATTGTCGTAATCATACTCTAGATCTAATACTATCACATGGAATAGATGTTGATGCCATTGAAATTCTGCAGCAGAGCGATG